GGTTTGGTGTCAGTCAGTAAGTCAGGTGTGATGTCAGTCAGTAAGTCAGGTGTGATGTCAGTCAGTAAGTCAGGTGTGATGTCAGTCAGTAAGTCAGGTGTGATGTCAGTCAGTAAGTCAGGTGTGGTGTAACTTGATCCATTAATGAAGACCCAATGGTCTCATTGGATCATTTTTTTTTTAATAGACTGGCTGTAAAACATTTTTTTTTATATAATAGTTGTTCACTGATCAGTGTTATTTGCTTTTGTCATCAAACATGATGGGCAAACTGTCAAAGGATTAGCCCAACAACTCTTAGTTTATCAGAATTAAGTATTTAGATTTCGTTAAAGCCAAAATGTAAACTGTCCTAATTTAAAGAACTCAGAGTGTTGGGTACAATCAAGAAGACTTGTCCTTATGCAGGTTAAAATAATTGGCATCTCAAATTCAAACTGTCTCATCCAGGACAGATTTGTGAATGAGAAAAAGAGACTAAAAGAATTAGACTCACTTCATATACTTACACTTATCAGTTCAAACTGACACAGTATCTGCAGCCGGAGAGAGACAGTCTTTAAACTCACAGCGCCTCCCTTGAGCCCGCACTTTAAGAAGGATCTTTCTCCTGCTTCTCCTCCTCTTACTCCTCCATGTCACAGTGTGCTCCTGTCGTTCTTCCTGATTTACCAGACATCCTCTTTCCCCTGCTGTCACATTTGGTACAGATGGTTAGGCTCGTTGGAGCGGCCTGTCAGTCTCCATTTGGCCGCCTCAACGTGACAGCAGTTCTGATGGCTCGTGAAGGGCCCCCGACTTTCCCAGCACACGGACACACACGGGGCTTGCATGCATGCTTCCCACCCTGCCAGAGGAGGGAAACCAAGAACCTGGAGATGACCCAGAGATGGCTACAGGCGGGGAGAGTCAGGGATGGAGAGAGAAGAGGAGAAACTGAAGATAGAGAAGTTGGGGTAGAATTTAGACAAAGATTAAGAGTTAATGAAGGGTGAGGCATTTGAGCATAAGTGGGAGAAAAAGGGGTAGATAATGAAAGGTCAAGTGCAACAGAAGAAAAAGTAAATAATGTCAGGAAACATATGTCAGTCATTGCCTGGATGTGAGATTACAGCTCATGCAGTAACCATTGAAATGTCCTAAAATACACACTTTTATGTGTGTCCCTCTCTACACCCCTTAGAGAACGGATCAACTTAATCTGATGAAGTTTAAGAGAAAACAAACTGCTACATGAATCATCAAACATCCAGGTGCAGACACAAATTCGCAGAGCTGTCTCTGATCACTGCACACAGAGAGAGTGCAGAGCTCCCTTACTTACAATAAGAACATTATTTTCAGTGTTCAGTTATTAAAGTAATGCTTTACAACATTAGAAGAGCAGATTTATTTTTCTTAAAAACAGACGGTGAAATGGGTATTCAAATGCTTACCTGTCTAAGACAGAGCTGCAAAAGATGAAACCTGGAAAAAGGATATGAAAAGAAAAAGTTATTTTAGATTTTTTTTTATTATTGAGATAGACAGACAGATTGATAACTTAGAATTAAAGAAGTGTACACCTAAATGTTAACAGTCAAATCATTTTATTTTTTCACGTTAAAAAAACAGTAAAACATTTTTTTCTCATATTCATAAACTTCTCATGATAACTTCCTTTTTTCACTTCTGAATTTTCCCATGACAAATGAAAATAGCAAAAAATCCTGGAATTATGAGGAACTGATTGTCAGATTTTGAAAAAGAGATTTTATATTATGGCATTAATAGATAAGCCTTTACTTTTATAAGTTTGCATTGAGCATTTAAAGGTTTATATTGCCCCTGTAAGCTACACAATAGTGGTCAGACCAAATGAAGCTTTTTGCAATAGATACAAGAAGAAATGTATATGAAATATATAATAAAAGTAGAATAGATTTCCTCTATTTCTCACGAGGCTGCAGACAAACAGAGAATTAAACACTTGACCTCACAGCAGAGTGAATTACTTGGATAAATGTCCCTGTTGCTCTCCGTAGCCCTAATCATACTAACCTCTACCTTTATTGTAAATTATTATTCTGCATCTTGGCTTCAAGGTGGAGACCCCGTTTGAGAATCCAGGGGGGGAGAGGGAGGAGGGGGGAGCTGCTGTATTGTAACGCCTGCGGGCAATGCTCCCAGTCAATATATATGTGCACAGTCGCTGCTGTGCTTCTGTTTGAGCGGGACGCGCTGAACCTCAGAGCCGCTGCAGAGAGACATAGACACACACCGGGACGCTCAGAGGTACAGTGAATACATTTTATCTCTACTTTGACATGTTTGTGGTTTTGCGTGCAGGAAGGTTATAGTTTGTCTAAATTAGGGGATATATTTTAAAAGTAAGTTTAAAAAGAGGCCTGCTCTACATGATGTATTTCGAAGCAAATAAAAAAATAAAAACTGCACATCTTTTATTTTGAAGGTTTTGTAACAAGAAAATGTTAAATTCAATTTGTTTAGTTTTAAACATTTGTGAGGATGAATATTGTCCCAAAATCTAACAAAATAATTGTTTGTTTTGATTTCCATGAAAACAGTTTTTGAGTTACTTTTCATTGCCATTTCCTCTACACATGTACTATAGCTTTATAAAATTGGTTCTAAAGCATTTTCTGTGACCAAGATTGTAAAGACCTTGAATTAATTTATCAGCATTTAAAATGTTTTTTTTTTTCTGTTTAAGCATACAATTCAACTAATTTAAAATGTTTGTTTGTAGAGAGCTTGTTGTTTTTTAGGTTGTTTGAAGTATAAATAGAGATTGAAGAATATTTGTGAATGTCTTACTATTGTTTTTGTTTTTATATTCTATAAAATAAATAAAACATAAATAAGATAATGACATTTCATGTTTACTCTATTTCCTCTTTTTCAGATAACCACTCGTCATCCTGACCACAATCCAAGGTACAGTTTCTAAATGAAATACGTTGAAATAAGATAAACGCCACAGAACATTTTTCCACAGTGTATATTACTGTACTGCTAGGCGGTCCCGTCGAGCTGTCAGTGGTGTGGTTGCATGTAACTTGTCAAAGCTTTTAGTGTGGTGAACCTCCTTAATTGTAACAATAGATGTTCAAGCGGTTTGGCTTGTTTGATCAGCAGCCCTAAAAGCTTAAAACAAGACCGCAGGGTTTGGATATGGGGCAACAGGGGGGCTAAAGTGCAAAGTCAGTGGAGAGCAGAGCAGATAGTAGTGGCCAGGAGAGGAAAAAAAAAAAAACACTGTAAAAATGATTTTTATTGATTGGATCGTAGCAGCAGCTGTTAGGCTCCATTATAAGCTCAAAACCCAGGTCAGAGCCCCGAGGCGGACAAGTCAACCAATCAAATGGTCAGCCACTAAGCGAGCCAATTCTGAGGGTCCAATTGGGAGGGCAGTTTGCCACAGCCTGCCAGTCTGTGTTAGACTCACCATGTCTTTCATCTTCACTTTTCATGCTGGCTTTTATAGATGAGGTTGTCTGCTGTCTCTCAATATAACAGGCCATCCATCACCTGTGTGTGCTTCACTGGCCTTTATCTCAAAACTATCATGAACAGTCTCTGGATGAGTGTACTTCTTTCCTTCAGCGTAGACCCCAAACATCCCACAGACTTTCATCTGGTAATAACCCGGGGGAAAAAGACAAAAATAAAAGCCCTCAAAGCAGAGTGTTTCAAATTGAGGAGCGCACTTCATCTCACATCTTCTTTCACTGCAGGGTTCACCCGACAGCCTGGCTTTAAGTCTTAGAAGATCACAAAGTTTCTGTAATTGAACAGCTGAAAAAAGCACATAAGTGCTTAAATTTACTTTAGGGGACTAGAAAAAAGAGATAATAAATTAAACCCATGCCCTTAACTGAATGGAAAATTTAAGATGGAAAAAAACACAAAGATAAAAAAAAAATTCAGACAGTGTACAGTTGATAAATCAAAAAAAGAAAAACAGTGGATTACTTTCAAAGCTGTACAAGCAAAATAATGAATGTAAGAAAAAAAAAAGTTCAACATAATAATAAATTACCTGTCAATAGATTGATGGATGCTGGAAGGTAATTATCCAATCGTATAAAACACGTCCAAATAATGAATCGTCTATCATAGTATTTCAAGTTTTAAATTCCTTTTGTGAACCACCTCTCTTGTTTGACACTTAAATGCCTTACAATGACTTTTAACCTCTTGATAAATGCTCTTATTGCTAATCATGTTGTATAGTATAACCAAACTCTTAATGCAGTAGTACTAAGACGAGACTGAGTTCAGGATAGCAGTTGAACTTCTGCACCATGTCCTGACCCAGATCCCAGTCCAGGCACTAATGACGCCCTTTAGGCATGACGCTAGGCTCTCATTAGGAACCAGGCCTCAAACCCCCGACTCCTCTATGCTAACCACAGCCTGGCCTCCATTGTGCCTGTAGTCGGCCTCCGAGGGTCCAGCCGCAAACCCGAGCAGGCCTGTAAGTGTTTTGAAGGCCCCCTGCACAGGTGCAGTCCCCTGAGACGGCCCTGTTTTCCCCCCAGCCCTGGACCCTGTTAGCGCTTGGTGCTACACTGGAACTAATTAGTAGTGGCAGGTACAGGGAGAAAGGAGTAGCTTGGGCCTCCCTGCAGTTAGGTTAGTGGCATCGCGCAGCTTAGGCAGACAACAAATGTGCTCATATGATACACATAATGTACGTGCATAATGATACAAAGCAGCCTTTAGTGCACACACATGTTTAGCTCAGAAATGTAGGCACTTCATTTGTGCAAGGTGTGTTTTTGTATTCATAAGAAATATTTTTTTTGGTACATTTTAAATGTTTTCTCTATTAATTTGTTTGAGGTTTTTTTTCTAGTTTTCAAGAACAGCTTTATATTTTTCCAATCTTCATACAGAACTATGTTCTGTAAAGCACTGTGGTCAAGCTTGGTTGTTTTACATGTACTATATACATAAAGTTGACTCTATTTAAATTCTGTGTTCACAGGTTCAACAGATGCTGTCTTTCATCTACCTACCAAACTGAGGAAAGCCCTGCATCCAATGAAATGAACCCTAGCAAAAAAAAGAGATAAACCAGAAATCCTTCTTCAACTGATTATCATTATAACAAAATCACACATCCTAAAGACCAAGAAGTAATCATGTCCAAGGACGAGGCTTGTAAAGTGACGTCCGCCAGTAAACACAAGGAGCGGAAGCCTAAGAAGCCTCACTATATTCCCCGGCCATGGGGCAAACCCTACAACTACAAATGTTTCCAGTGCCCTTTCACCTGCATGGAAAAGTCTCACCTGTACAACCATATGAAATACAGCCTGTGCAAGAACTCCCTTTCTTTGCTCATAGAGTCAGACTGGCCATACAAGAAGGGAAACATCCTGCATCCAGAGCAGCTCCGGCCCTTTCAGCAGGCACACAGCATTCACACTAACGGGAAAGACGGTTTAGAGCAGGTAGCAGGGACTGAGGAGAGGCAAAGGCAGAGCTGGGAAGATGAGGGAGAGGACAGAGAAATCCAGGGAGCAGAAGATGAAGAGGAGGGAGGACACGGAGAGGGAGTAGAGGTTGCGAGGTTGACTAAAGAAAGCACTGGAGACAACCACAGAGAAGATGCTACAGAATGTGCGACAAAGAAAACCAAACAACCAGAGTCGGAGTTTCTGATGGCCGACATGCTCTCCCTGGAGAATCAGCTGTTACGAGCGCGCTCGGTCGAAGTCGAGGCTCAGCTGAAACAGTATAAGCTGTCCAAGACTTGTCTCACTGCTCCTGGCTTGTTGTCTGAGCAATGGCGGATGTTAGCGTCCAGCCACACTAAGGCTAAAGCTGAGGGTGCTCAGTCCCGAGTGAGCACCTCAATACCCTGCTACCCTCCTCCGCCAAACTTGGTGGATTACCAGGATCCCACTGGACTCAACCTGTCGATGCTCGGGGTGGGCTACCCCATCAGTCCCAGTCTCTTCTCCTACATGAACTCAGCTTTTCCCACTGCAGCAACGAGTGTAACCGCGCAGACCCACGCACAGCTTGCCCAGTTTCCCTTCCTAGCATCGGCCGCCCAGCTGATGCACCCGACCTCCGGCACCCATGCTGACAGAACTCTCATCTCCCCTCGCCTCTACTACCCTTTCCTATGTGAGCACACATTCGGGGCGGGCACCAGTCAGGGTGACTCCAGCAAAGCCCTCAAAACGTCCACAAACAGTCTAGAAGTGAATCCTCTGTCCAGCTTCCAGCCCAAAGTGAATCTATGGAAAGTGCCTGCCTTGCGGCCGGGGACCGCTGCAGTCAGCCAGGCTGGCTGGGTTTCACCTCTACAAGAGGCTGCAGAGCATGGCTACAGGGCGGGGGACAAAACGCAGGCTACAGCCAAGGAAGGCAAAGCAAGCTGGGGTGTAAAGAGGACAGGGGCACCACTGGGGAACCACAAGGCACCTGTGGAGAAGAAGCCGGCCATTGGTTTCTCTTTGGACCTTTTGAAGAATATTCAGACTGCATCGACTCTCAATATGTCAGCGGACAAACTTCTCTTCCCTGGAAGGTAAATGTTTCTATTTTGATTCTGTGGTATTGTAATGAGAAGTACATTTGTCTCTTTAACTCTCATGTGATAATCTGAAATGATATGGAACTTAAGGGACAAGGATGTCCACCAATGAATCTGATTCTGTTCATTCTGTTCTACTTTAATCTTTCAACTATTGCCAAGTGTTTGTACATTGGTGGATTTAAAGTTGAATCTCTGTAAATAATATTACAAACACTTTATATTGCAAACACTTTATATTGCTCTTTATATTGGGAGTCATGTTGTGCTATATGAAGAAGAATTGATAGATTGGCGGTCTCTAATGTGTTATATTTACACAAGGCAATGAACTAAAATGTTCCCACCCTTAGTTTACAGGATGCTCAGCTCCAGACTCGACCCTCTGACCTGTGGTACAACGATGCTCTCCCCAGTCCCAACAGTGAAACATCCTCTCTGTCTACCAGCGGGGGACCAAACAGCAAGGACTCCACTGCTCCCCGGACAATGGGGGAGGGGGCTTCACAGTCAGTGGCTACTCTCCTTGGTGATCTTTCCAAGGCATTGCAGGAGTACCAGGAGGCTGAACGCAAAATCTCCCATCTGGAGAAAGAGGACCTCCCCGCCCAACGCCACCTCTGGGAACATTTGAGCAAAATTCGCAGTGAGCTGTCCCACATCCACCAGGCACTGGAGCGGACTGCTCGTCAGAGTGACGGGCCGCTTGACCTGTCAGTCAAGAAGAACTCCACGGATTCTGTTGCTGACCGTAGAATCAGAGAGGATCTTAACCTTAAAGATAATACAACAGAGACAGAGGATGAAGACGAGGAGCTGGAAGAGAAAAAGGAAGAAGAGGAGAATGAGAGCGAGAGGAAGGCAATGAAGGCATCGTTGGAGAGTCGTAAGCAGTCGTTAGACATGCTGATCAAAATGAGTCAGGCGTCTCTGGTGAACACAGAGGTTCTGTCTCCAGGTGGTCTTGGCATGAGGCCTAATTCTGCTGAGGCCTTGTGGCCGAGCAGAACAACAAAGTGTGAGGCGGACTCCAGCGTCCTGCTCTGCCCTGACGGTCGCTCAGTAGTGTTCACTGATATACCTCCCTCAGCCAAAACCACCAAAAGACCCCCGTCCATACAGCGACTAGACGCCCAGTTTCCCCCAAGCCCTCTGACAGCAACAGACAATTAAACACATCACCTGTACTGTAAAATGATTGATTTAAGTGCGGTTGACTTTGATTTTCATCGGCTTGAGGAACTCCTTTTGACATTTAATGTGAAAAACCTCCACAATGTTTGCACCTTAAAGGACAAAACAGAGAATGACAGAAAAGTCCTACAAATGCACTATGGACCTTGATTGTTACATAAGACTTTCCTGAAAAGACGTTTTAAATACATCAGCATTTATAAGAATTACCATCAGGACCATTAGGACAATCTATTATTTCCCAACAATGTTGATCCACAACACTTTGAATGGATTGTAAATAATGCAATTATAATATATGTAAAATCTCTTAAATGGTAAAGGCCTTTTATGGACGATGTCATGTTGGGTTGCATTGCACTTGATGAAAAATAATTGTATTATAAACACTGTATTTCTTTGAATAAACAGAGTCAAAAACTAAAAGTACTTTAAATCTTTCAGAGGAAGTGGAAATCAACAAAATACTTGAAAAAAGAACATTTTATAGTTTGTGATCAAATCATACAACGAAATGCTATCACCACCATTAAGGGTCTACATAATGGGTAAAAAGATTGATAGTGGCAGCTTTACCTGAATCTCCTAGATCCGGCCTGACATGGTCAGTTGGCTGTGATAAAGGTGAAGCAGCACCTTAAGGTAAATGGCCATCAGTGAGGTCATTCCCGCCTCCGCTCGGGAATCCAGGAGCTCTCCTCAAAAGGTCAGGGCCTTGAGAGCGGGGCTTAACAAAGAGTAAATAGAGGCTTACCTGTCCCCCCCAGGATGAGCACCTAGCACTGGGCTGCCCTGCGTCCCTTGGCCCTTTCACCAACCTCACACATAACACAAAAAGGCAAAAGGCCATCTGCCATTCCCAGGCAGTACAGAGTGGAATTTCAGCCTTTAAAATTACTGCATAGGTCAAAATAAATGCATTTTCTTTTTAACTTATATCAATTATTATTTGTTTTTTTTAACGGCTTGATAAATTATTACAAAAATTACATTTACAATTTCACTACTCTTTGAGTTATACTTCAAGCCGATATTTGGGAACTATTTGAATCCATTGTACCATGAATTATATTTGATCATTATTACTGCTCTTGAGAAAAAGAAAATGGAAAATAAATTAAAATTACTTGAAGATAACAGAGCACCACAATAAATTGATTCTTTAACAGGAATACAATCCTGAAATTCCTTTGCTTTAGCTTTCCTCCTCCAAAAAAACAAGTTTTCATCCATCCATGTGTATTTCCTAAGCATGTTGACCCAGATATCTCTCTCCTCCTCTCCCCAGCAACATTTTAAGCTTCTACTAAAACCTTCTCAGGCAAGCTTTTTGTTCTGTTTTATATCTTCCAAAATCCCACTGGTTTTAAAACAACATATTTTGGACAGAATCCATCTAAATCTTTTATAGAATTAAAGTTTAAAGGCAACAACACAACAGTTGGAAGGAATGAAAAATATCAATATGGATATCACCAAATATCTGTTGTTTATATCAAAAGCCAATTTGAATGTTTTAAACAAAAACAAAATGATGCAGCATCTTTTTCGGAGTGTCACTAAAAGCAAGATTCAAGCAAATGGCTCCCTCATGTGGGCAAAGTGTTTAGAGGCAGAGGGGTAGCTGCTGTCAGCATTTATACAGCAGGGAGAAAGAAAGAAAAGAAAAAAACTAAAAATGCTAATTCTAAAATGTTTTGTATACACTATAAGTCTCTAAAATCAGAGTTTCTTTAAATATCATTAGGGCAGATAACAGGCAAGTACAAAATGAGTTTCACATCCTTCCTCAAATTGACACGTGTCAAGAGTGCTGAACTGATGGTCATTATAAAAAGCTCAGCTGCAAAGATTAAAGCACCACAAGAGGAGCAAGAAAGAGTAAGTTAAAATATTTTATCACTTTTTGGTTTAGAATATGTTAAATAATGCTGTATATCTAAAATCACTATATATCCAATATTAACAATCAATATTATTTAAGAGTCTGAATAGAAGAAGTAATGCAGTCATGTAAGTAAAAGAGTAGGAAGGAGAAGAGAATACTTATACTATGTACTATATTTATATTCAAATGTTGGTGACCAAGCAGGTCCTCCTGTTGCCTGACATGGACCCTTAATTGAACCTTCGACTTATGTTATATCCAAGTATAGGAGAAATCAACCATTGTTTGAAACTGAACAAAATAAAAAATGCCTAAAAACTGAATTACACACAGTGATAAATGAAAAAAACAAACATATTAATAATAATAATAATAATAATAATACATTTTATTTATAAGCGCTTTTCAAAAACTCAAATTCACTGTACAATAGTTAAAAACAGAAAGAACAGCACAGTAAGGACAGACTAACAGACATTGCAACATTACACACAAATAAAGATAACAACAATAAGGTAAACTACAGAAAACAGGAAATACATCACAATCATACATTAAAAGTTTAAAGAGGTGAGTTTTGATCAGTGATTTGAAAGTAGGAGGGTCGGTGCAGTGTTGAATGTGTGTAGGGAGTGAGTTCCAGAGGGAGGGGGCAGCTATGGAGAAGGCTCTGTCCCCACAGGTTCGGTGCTTGGTTCTAAGAGGGGGAGATAGGAGGTTTTGAAGAACGGAGGCTGCGTGCAGGAGTGTGAGGGTGAAGGAGAGCCATGAGGTAGGAGGGGGCCTGGTGGTTAAGGGCTTTATGTGTGAGAAGAAGGATTTTGAATTGGATTTTGAATAAGGACAGGGAGCCAGTGGAGATTTTGCAGGACAGGGGTGATGTGTTCGTGTGTTCGGGTGTGGGTGAGGAGGCATGCAGCAGAGTTTTGGATGTATTGAAGTTTATTAAGGACTTTGAATGATGTGCCGAAAAGGATGCTATTGCACTAGTCGAGTCTGGATGTGATGAATGCATGGATTAGTGTTTCAGCAGCAGAAAATGAGATTAGGGGGCTATATTTTTGAGGTGAAAGAAGACGGTTCTTGTGAGCTGGGTGACGTGGTGATCAAAGGAGAGCTGGCTGTCAAAGATGACTCCAAGATTGCGGATATGGTAAATGGTAATGGACTTGAGCTTATATGGCGCTTTTTTAGTCTTCCAACTACTCAAAGCTCTTTTACACTGCAGGTCACACCCACACATTCACACCCTTTCACACACTGATGGTAGTGATCGCTATGTAGTATCATCCATCAGAAGTAACTAATTCATACACCACCACTGAAGCAGTGTCTTGCCGAAGGACACATTGGACATATTGCCCAGCTGGGGAATGAATCCTCGACCTTCTGGTTGAGAAGCGACGACTCTACCAACTGAGCCACAGCCGCCCCGGATATGAGGGAAGGGGGAGAGAGTGGAGTTGTCTATTGTGAGGGAGAAATTGTGAATGGAATTGGTGAGGGATTTAGGGACGATGATTATTATGTCCGATTTTGCATAGTTGAGAGAGAGGAAGTTGGTGTGCAGCCATGTTTTTATTTCATTGAGGCAGTTTGTCAGGGTATTGATTGTTTCTTCTTCATATCTACTTGTATGGGATTTTTTTCATTACAGCAAATAAAGAGGTAGAGCTGGTAAATGGGTAACAGATGCTCATAGTTGTGCATTTTGCAGAAAATTAGCAGCAGCCATTAGCAGAAGAGGCAAATATTTCCCAGAGGAGAATTAAAAACAGAGCTGGTGGATGTGTGAAATGGCAGTTGTTTCCTTTTCAAAGAGGCCATGTCGGTGTTGTATTCACAAATTCATTGTTTCACAGAGGCGTAAATCAGCTACTGCAGGTTTAAAATCTTAAAATATTTTATGTGTATCATTTATAACTTCCTCATGATGCATTGGTGTTTCTTTCTTAATATAGTTTGAGGTTTCTGTGGTTGAACCTCTTTGCAGTCTGTGAAGAAAAGAAGATGCAAACTGTCCTGTTCCTTCTCCTGCTCTACGCCTCGGCCTGCTGTGGTTTTGGCTTCAGAGGCTGTACTCAGAACATCCCCCAGACAGACACCATGTGGTGCTCCAAAAGGAAGATCGCTAACCTCTCTGATGTCCTTCGCATGATGCCAGATAACATAACTACTATCAACCTGTCTTTGAACAAAATCACAGTCATTCCACCTGGGTTGTTCAGTCAGGTGCTAGGGCTCAAAAAGCTAGACCTGAGCCAGAACCAGCTAAGCTTTCTAAAAGGAGGAGAATTCAGAGGCTTGGATGCGCTGGTTTTCCTCAACCTCACCTGCAATAACATCTCACACATCCACTCCAATGCCTTTGGTGGACTCAGCAGACTCAAAACATTGCTTCTGATCCACAACTTTCTATCAACCATCTCCCTAGATATCTTCAGTTCCCTACCAGCTATTCAAGAAGTTGATCTTTCTTTGAACATGCTGAAGGTTTTCAGCTGTGGAGAGTCCAGTGGATCCTCCAGTCTTGGGAGGCTTGATCTTTTCGCAAACACCATCCAGAAGCTGAATGTGAGCTGTTTTCCCGCCCTTGAGTACATCAGGCTGTCCAACAACTCAAAGCTAGAGCTGCAAGCAGATGTTTTCTCCTCAAACCACAGGCTTAAAACTCTTCTCTGTCAGAGTCTAAATGCAGAAGGTCTACTGAGACTCCCTGAAGATACAAAGAGAAATCTCACTTGGGTGGCATTTTCTCTGTTTGTGGAGAAATCTCCATTAACAATCTGCCAACTTCTAAAAGGAATGGACCAGCTTGAAAAAGTAGAGGTATGTGCACTTAGGAACAGCAAATTCTTTGTTTTGTATACTGTACGTTTAAAGCCATTTGCATTTCATTTGATACAGGTTGACTTGAAAGGATCCAGGTTGCCTCAGAATAACTCCAGCCTGTTGGACTGCCCCAGTCCACCTATGTTTATTATGATGGATGCAAACTTTGGGAATGTGGACCAGTTGTCACTGGGTAGGGGGAATACCAGCAAACTTTATCTCATCAACTTAGGGTTGAGGCAGATATCTCGTACTACATTTGATGGTTACAAAGGACTGAAAACGTTGCAGGTGAACCAAAATAAGCTCATTATTGAGCCTGACACATTCAATGGCCTAACACACCTCACATTTCTAAGCTTTGACAAGAGCAAACTTCATGAAATTGACCCTAACTGGTTTGTCCCTCTGATAAATCTTACACGCCTTTCTCTCCTAAAAAATGAAATCACTGAGTTGCCACCCAAGGGATTCAGTGCCCTTATTCATCTCGAGCAGCTTTATCTGCAGTTCAACCTGCTGAAATACATCACCAGGAAGCCCTTCAGTAAGCTGAGGAGGCTGAAAAAGCTCAACCTCAGTTTGAACATCATTGATTTCATAGAAGAAGGCACCTTTCAAGACCTGACATGCTTAAGGTATAAAGTGTTTTCTGCTCAAGCATCTACTTTCATCACTGTCTATTTATTGAACACATCTATTGGTCCCTTAGATACCTGGACCTCAGTGGGAACCGCATCAAGAGACTGACACCACCTATCCTGTCTGGTCTGACAAATTTAAAGACATTTGTGCTGTACAACAACCGCCTCCATTTCAGATCCTATGAATCTCCTTTCATCAACCTTACTTCTCTGGAGGTATGGTATATTTTTAGTCAGTCATTAATGGTGCTGCATCATGTGAATGATTCTGTCCTTTTTCACTTTTTATTCTTCTATCCAATTTTAAGTATTTGGAGATGAACTACCAGGGGCCCGGTGGTCAAGGCATTGGAAACATTGGACCACACTTCTTCCAGAATGCGCATCAACTTATTTCAGTAGGAATTGGGCACAGCATCAAGCTGGACTTTCATCCTGATGCCTTTGTTCCTCTGGTCAAATTAAAATACCTCCACATAGCAGGAGTTATCATGAAAACGACCAACCTGAGTGCTGTGTTGTCCCCTCTGAAAACATTGAGGAAGCTGACTCTTTACAGGGCAGACCTTGACACTCTGCCTGCTAACCTGCTGTCTCCAGGTAACACACTGGAAATTCTCAAGGTCCAGTCAAACCATCTTCACACTGTGGACAAAACAATGCTGGATGCATTGCCAAGGTAAAAGAAGCAACAGGAATGTCTCTAAAACAGCTCTTGAAGGAATATATAAAAATGTGAAGTCATATCTATTAACAGATTCTGCATTCAAATGCAGATGCAGAGTCTACATGTGTGGTCCATTGGCGTTTTAGCAAGGTTTGGTTGCATTTGACAACAATTTAGCTGTAATTGATTTCTTTATGCAAGTGCAGCTAACACTCATTTTGCACTGAATTGTAAACAATGGTAACACACAGGAAAGGAAAGTTATGGCTAAGTCTTTTACCACAAACTGCTGGCTACACTAGAAGCCACCAAAAATTGGCTGTCGCGACTCGCCCCCAAAGGCTTTCTTGTCTGATGGGTTCTGAAATTGGATAGGAAGATTAAGCAACATTAGAGACTCTTAAGATATTCCCCCCTTATTTTAAAGAAAACAATCATCATCCAATCAATCATCCAATATAGATTGGATTTACTCGTGTTATCTGTCTGAAACATAATCAATCAATCATTCATTATTTGTGAAGTGCAAATTCATAACAAATGTTATCTGGAGACGCTTTTAAAAAGAGCAGGTAAACGACCATACTCATCGTTGAGAAGAATAGGATATGGGGAGATGGAATAAGATGCTGTAAGCTTTCTGGTCTTTGTTGGTATCCCCTTTTGCCGCATCCCCGTATCATCATATCATTTAACCACTGTTGTAGTTTCTTTCTTTGCCATGACACAAAATCCAGACATTCATTTACTTTTCCCTTCCAAAAACAGGACGTCTTTATGTATAGATTTAGGTTTATTTGACTAAAATAGGTTATCAATCATCCTTTTTATCGAGTGTTATTTATATTTTCAAAACGGTTTGTGCCAAGAGAATAGCCAAATACGTGCTGTACCTTTCTTTTTGACCCAATGTCAATTTCTGTTAAGTCATTTTGAATATGTTTTCATATTTCCAGGTTGCGTTTTTTGGATATTACAGACAACCCACTTAGCTGTACCTGTGATAACGCCTGGTTCAAGACTTGGGCCATCAACAACAATTACACACAGGTAATAAGATACAATGTGACAAAGATATGAAATACAGAAATCAGATTTGACTTTCCTTTGATGATCTCTCCAGGTGTCCAACTTGTACAGCCTACATTGTGACAACAACGTGAGGTCTCCCTACCTGTGGCAGCTTGGCGATAAGGCCTGCTCTTTCGACCGGTTGTCCTTTACTCTTTGCATCACTTTCTCTGTGTTGGATATTTTGTTTGTGGTTGTGTGTCTTGCCTGGCACACTCAGGGATCTGCTCTGCGCTACCTAATACTCATCTTCAGGGCAAAACTACGCAGACGTCGTGGAACAGCAAAAGTACAGTACGACGCCTTTGTCTCCTATAGCTCCAAAGATGAGGCCTGGGTGATAGGACAGCTGGTTCCCCATCTAGAGAGACCAGCTGTGGGGGCAAAGGGCCTTCGACTGTGCCTCCACCACAGAGACTTCCGCCCTGGTGCTGCTGTGCTTGAGAACATCGAGTCTGCGATTTACAGTTCTCGCCACACCATCTGCGTGGTGACACGGCACTTCCTGCAGAGCGAGTGGTGCTCGGTGGAGTTTCAGCTGGCCAGTCTGAGGCTTTTGTTTGACGGCAGTGACGTCCTGCTGCTGGTGTTCTTGGAGGAGATGCCTGAGCACTGTCTGTCTCCCTACATACGCATACGCAAGATCGTGCGTAAAAAAACCTACCTGCTGTGGCCTGAGGACCCAAACGAGCGCGAGGCCTTCTGGGTCAGGTTTAGAGATGCTTTAAGGGACAAAGAGGATGAGGACGGAAGAGGAGGAGATGAAGAGTTGGCAAGGCTAATTGGCTAGACAGAATGCAAACTACTTCCACATACTGTCATGGGGGTCAGCCCTATGTTCCCACACTTCTAGGACATTTTCAAAATTAGGTCTTGTGTTCCTAGATTTCCCTTCAATTTAAGCCCTATCCTCCCACAAGATTTTTTGGAAGCAAGTAAATTAATGAATGAAAGAATAATTTCGATATTTTGATCATCAGCAGCAGAAATCGTCACAATCATTACAAGAAAAAAAAAATAGGCTGATGGAAAAGGGTTTAACATAACATAGATAACATAGAAATAACATAAAAATGTGGGAACATAGGCTCCCCTGTCATGTCATCATTCATTTGACTCGTAGTAAAATGCATTAAGAACTCTTCTATTATCTACTCATTCTCTGCTAAGCTATTTGAGACTGTTAAAAGACTACGCTATTTAAAACTTGAGTATTTATCTTGAAAACCTACTGTATGACAAACACTGAACAAGCTAACATGCCAGGTACAGTGTTCACATACACCATTCCTTTTTCCGGTTAGGTTGCTGCACATGCAAGGAGCCTGAAGTCCTCCAAGTAGGCGGGAGTAAAGACTGTGGCTACTGTCCCGCATTTCATTACCCACTGTCTCTCCCTGGTTTACTACTCTATCCACTACAGGCAGAAAGCCCAAAAATTAATATTTAAAAAAACAAAGTGCATACCCTGTTATGCTTATTAGTGCCAAACTAAATGTCAACTTCACTTACTTTAAATGAAGATTCTTTCCACATTCAGTTGTAATGTATCGTGAGATTAACCATGAAGACCTGACAGTTTTTCTTTTTATACTTCACTGTTTTTTTTTGTTTTAAGATTTCTTTTTGGGCATATTGTGCCTTTAATGGAAAGATAAGACAGTGGATAGAGTTGGAAATCAGGGACATAGAGTGGGGATTTGAGCCTGGGGCATCCGCTTGGAGGACCATGGCCTCCATACATGGGGCTCGCACACTAACCACTGCACCACCAGCGCCCCATGTACTACACTGTTAACATGATTGATTGATTCTGCTTTAGAGTTTGGTATTTTAATGTTGGGCTTTGTGGGAATTCACTCTTTTTGAAGCCAGCTGAAGCAGGTACAAAAGGAAAACATTTTTAATCGGTGACCTCAGGTCCAGCTTGGTACAAATTGGATTTTTTTTTTTTTTTTTTCCATATTTAGGGTGTCCATGTGCTTACTCTTTTGTTCTGTTCCATGATATTATTGCAATTTAATATTGCATTGCTGGAAAAGTAAAGTAAGTAATGAAATATGTATTCAACTTATGATGTGATGATTGCTTTAAAATAAAAACTTACCTGAAAGTGGTCAAGGCTTCAGCAAGGTTTTGTAAAGAAAAATTTAGCCCAATTAGCTATTAAAAAAAATAATAATTCAAGAACACCAAATCAAGCCAACACACGCATGTTAATATAACTCAAAGATGTCCAAACACTTAATTTATTTGACAATATACGTTAAAATGAAAATAAAAAATATTCATATATATTTCATATAGAGCTAGTGAGCAAGATACAAGTTTAAAACAAAACACAGAAGTCCTCCGTGTGGCTTATATATACAAGGCGTGGTTTGAATACTATACAGTGTGTATCATAGCTGCACAGGTTTCATGGATGTTTATATTCTTCTCTTAGCTGAGGCACGACTAGTGAGAGGACAGGGATCGGGCCAAGTGCTTCAAGACTGCCGCTTACAGTAAAACATTTCAATCTCAATTTAACAGTAGGACTTGCAAAGCAAAGCTTATTAGTGTTAAGAGTTCCACACTGAAGCATTAGGAAAAAGAGGCATCATGATCGTTCTGCAATTCAAATGACACTGTACAGTCATGCAAAGTCCAAAATAGTTTGAAGTATCCAGAGCTGATTTTCTCACAACAAAGCGAAAAGTTTGCCAAAACTAAGCAAACACAAATTTAAGATTTTAAGAAACTTTAAAAAAATAATAATAATCCAGTTTAACAAACAAGTCACAGTACACTAAATTTGACAGAAGTCTTGATTGTTTGGTTGCACTGTGAGAATTGACTTGAAGTCACTATACCGCTTTGAGACAAATAAAAAAAAATCCTAAAGTAGTCAAGTGATAAATGCAATCCCAGCCCTCTTCCCGCTTCACACACAGACACTCCATTTTTATAAAACTCTCATACATAAGCAAGATAAGCATCACATTGATTTCCACTATCAATCAAACCATAGTTATAGTACAGCAGATGCAAACCATAGTCTGACAGAAATCCAGTAGTTATGTACAACAGAACTGGTGCAAACATTAAAAATGAGATAAAGTGTAACAATAAAATACAGCAGATACTTAATTTGTATTGGGAGATATATATTATTTATACTGTGTATTGCTGTCTGTTTTGGCATTCAGGATGATCAATGCTGGCATGTATCCCTCGAACAGCATTTGAACACATCTCCAACTTGGACAGATTAAACATTGAAGTAATACTTATAGAAACCCTTCAAAGGATTCCATTATTACAACCTTTTTTCATTAACTAAAAAAAAATCAAACAAAAAGATAACTACTTATCAAGCAGCAGGTCCAAGTTTAGAATTGACCTTCAAAGTGTTTTTATTTCCATTTCCTGTAAGAGTCCCCAGCTGAGTCTGCCACGCCTGTAGCAATCTGACCAATAGAAACAAGGCGAGACCGAGACAAATCACTGCAGATTGATATTTAAATCTTTTTGGAATCTTTTGCCTCGAAAAGCTTCATACGCTCCTGCACAGTTAGTCCCTCTTTCAGGCTCTGTTCAAGACAAGACAAAGAAAGTGATTTGTGATTCACAGATTACACAGGTATATCTAATCTCAAGCAAATGTGACAGGCAAAAGTGGTGATGCTGAAACATTGTCATGCCACACAGAAGGAACTCACTGGTTCACACGATGCACAAAAATACAAACACTGAGAATTCAAAAGTCAAACACACACAAAGACAACAGTTATAAAAAGAACATAGAAAAACAATGTTAAACATATGGGATATATGAAATTAAATAAAGATTAAGTAAATCTGCCGACCTTACACCTACATTCCACTTATGTGACGGGCGTACATCTGTAAATTTACGGATGGATTGATGATGGTCTGGATATTATTTATGATGATGGTATTGACGATTGTTTTTGTTTGATAACGATGACTTATAAGATGGTTTCTATACTGTTTAGAGCTCTCAAGAACTGCCCTCAATGTTGTGCTTTGCCTCTGGTCACTTCCTGTCAGCACCTGTGTGTCCAATCAGACTCAAAGTTGATCGTTTGCTCTTACTGACATTGTTCCCTTTTTTCTAGATCCTTGCTTGTGTTGTACTTAATCTCTGATGTACGTCGCTTTGGATAAAAGCGTCTGCAAAGTGAATTGTAGAATTTAAACCTGATAACGACCTGTAGCTGTGGGGGAGACACTCATATAGCATGTTTTTTTAGCCATCTAGCAGTTGGGAATATGTGTTTAGAGAATATGTAACTGATAGTGAGGATGACTGTATATCAACAATCTGACTGTAAATAATGTCTAACAGACTTGACATTCAACATAGGCCACTGATAATGGCCTGTTAGCAAGTTAGCAGCCTGTTAGCTAAGCTAGCACATGTTCTCTCTGAAACCCAACATAAAAGTTATATTTTTTATTTAATGTATTTGAGGCAAATTCAGGACTAAAAGATTAAAGAGGGAAGCGCTTTGCAGACACGTTTGATATCATGGGGATCCCGTCTCTTTACACACATGTACAGTATGTAAGGAGGAAACGTTCACCTCTAAACCTGTCTCATTTACATGTATCTTGATTTTAACCTGAAGTGAAACCACATCTTTTTAGTTTTCCAGTTAAGGTTTTGTAAAAATCAAATAAAGTTAGAAGTATGCTAGAAGGGGGTTGTTTTTAAATCAAGATTGTCAACAGGTGTCACCCTGTTTCCAATCTTCATGCTAAGCTAACCTATTTGGTACATAGACATGTGAGCAGTATAAATTAGTCACAAATGGATGTATTTAATGAAAAGCAGACTACTTTAATAAGCGTAGAGATGGGAAATCGATCACCAGAGAGGTTTTTACATGTCTGGTTTTTACTAGTTTTTGGACACTGTTTGCATCACTGCTTAACAACAGTTAATTCTCATGTGTTTGATGTTCAATTCAGGGCTCTTGAGTTATTTGCAGTGCAGGGAGGGGCAAAACAGAAAAGTCGGTGGGGGTAAAAATCATGCAATAGTAGTTAGGGCATGCTTTGCTCTACATCATGCTATACCTACAGAGCACATGTTTGGGCGGGGGCTGAGGGGGGATCACCCCACAATAGGAGTGTCAGCTATCCCATGAGACCTGTTCAGTGACGGACTGATGGACAAAACACACACATGACTTACAGGTAAACATGTTGGGACAAATCTCTACAGTATGTGGTGGCTAACAGAGACAAAGTCCGTCTGATTGTTAGAATTTAAAAGCTGAAATCCAGGAAGGACAAACGCATTGTTACATCTGACACTCACCTTTGACCGTACACCTCTGGATTGCCTGGAGGTGGATGATCGTTCTTTTTTTAGGAAATCAGGGTTACTTTTCGATTTCATGATATCTAAAACAAAACGAAGGCATGTCATTGCTACCATTGATGTGAATCGGTACATCAGGATCACAAGTGTCACAGCAAATCCTTGAATGACTACTGAATACTGTAAATATACAGTAAATACCTCAGGTCATTAGAAACCTATGGACCTCAGTTCTTTCCTTCTAAGTTCATTTATTACATTAAATACTCAAATAACTGGTATTCAATTTATCAAGGGTTCAAAGGTGTTAAAGTTCAGTCCTGAAAACAATACTCTTGTTATGCTCCATATTAAATGTATAATTTATAAAATGTTTTAATCTTTCATTACAGTGTTTAACTCTTTACTGACCTCACTGCTAACAAAACCTTAGAGATAAAAAGAAACGTCTTAATGAATATATATTTAAAAATGTAACACAGAACAATATAATAATATGAGATAATGTACATTACAATATCATAACATCAATATTTTATATTTACCGTATCCAGATGTGACTGTGCCATCCACAGTCTTCTCGCCCAAAGCTTCTGTGGCGATGAGCAGCTTCTCCTTCAGTTTGCTGATGTCACAGTCGGCCTTTGCTTTCACAATGCTGAGCTCTGTGTAAATGTCCTTATATTTGTCTGTGGCGTATTTCTTGTCCTGTTGAAATTAAACTCATGATACTGCCCTCCTTTTTTCGAATGTGGTTTTAACACATGAAGATGTACAGTTACAAACCTTCCAAGACACTGATTGTTTGAATGACATTCAGACTGCTTACCCTTAAAGCCAACTGCAGTTCATCTTTCAAAGAGTGGATTTCCTGTTTCAGATACTGGATCTCTGACTCCTTAATTCGTAGCAACACCTACAAAATAAAGAGACACACACATTCGATTAAAAGAGAAAATCTAACTTGTGTATTTGTGTAAGTGTGTATTTTGCACGGCATGTTTACACACCTCGAGTTCATACACGTCTTTGCCCTGGCTAAGTGTTGGCGCTGTTTCACCGCTGAAACAAGAGCGCATCCGAGTGATCTCTACTGACAGCCGGTTATTCAGTTCCTGTTGTAGGGAATACAGTTATCTTTTAATCTGCAGACAGTATTGTTTACATATGTACGTGTGCATGTATGTGAATTCAGACCTGGTTGTGAGCGTTCAGTTCCTGGTTCTCTCTTTGACACTGCCTGAGCGCTTGTCTCTCGGCCTCCAGGGCCTGGGCCAGGTGAGCATTCTCCAGACATTTCTGAGAGTATTGCTCAGACAACACCTCCAGTTCTCTCTGGATGGACTGCAGCTCCTCTCTGCACAGTCACATAATCACAATATCAAATAGAATTCTTATCCCATGTTGAACAATGGATGTCTCAAATTCTGCAAGCTCTAAACTTTTTATGGTTTTTTTGAATAAATTATGAAGTCAAATTAATACATTAACATGAACCATGATGTGTCCTCTTGGTAAATTGTAAATGTCTTAATGTTGCTGTAGGAATAAACTTACTCATATTGTAAGCGAAGTTCATCAATGTCAGAGTTCAGTCCACTGACTTGTGAGCGCTGGGTCTTCTCTAGCTCCTCCTTGTGGGCATTCTTCATAGCTTCAATAGCTACACAAAATGACAAAAGTTTAATTTCTTGCTTGAAGTGTAAGAAAAAAAGGTTGAATTATGTTGACATTCTGTACCAGCGATTGTAGCAGCGGTCTCCTCTGCCAG